GCTCATATGAAAATTGGTTTTATAATGGCAATGTTATTGAAACTGTATCCTTTTACAAGTACCTTGGAATTATGTTCACTCCTAAATTATCCTGGAGTAAAGCTACATCTTGCCTTGCATCACAAGCTAGTAAGGCAATATTCTCTGTTAAAAATTTCCAAAGGAAACTTGGCAGCATTAATTGTACAGATTTATTTAAAATCTTTGATTGTATGATATCACCTAATATCTGTAAATATGTCTTGAAACTTGGAAAATCCACCTGTAACAATATGGTCTTGGGTGAATGTGGAAGAGTGCCTTTACAGTTTTCTTATACTACCAATGCAGTGAAATACTGGTGCAGACTTCTAACCATGCCTGACTATAGATTACCAAAACAATGTTATTTTATGCTATTATCTTTAGACAGGGTAGGACGAAATTCATGGGCAACTAGAACTAAAAATATTCTTTTTCAATTTGGTTTTGGATTTGTTTGGATAAGTCAGGAAATTGGTGATCACAAAATATTTATGGAATCATTTCAACAGAGACTACATGATAATTTATTTCAATCTTGGCATTCATCTTTGGACAGTAACTGTAAATGTCTTTACTATAAGCAATTCAAATCTTTGTTAAATGTTGAGAGCTTCTTGATAAATAATGATATCCCTCAATATTTAAAAACTATATATGCCCGATTTCGGTGCTGTAATTTTAAACTAGCAGTTGAAACGGGCAGATACACTGATGTTGCACATAATGAAAGGCATTTCCTGTTTTGAAAATTAAATGATATCTTCGTTGTTCAAGATGAATGGCATGTGTTTTATATCTGTGATGCATATTCTCATATCAGAAATAAGTACATATCAAAATATTTTAGTAAATGTCCATCAATTATTAATTTTATATCAATATTACAGAGTAAAAATGTTAATATTATCAAGGATGTATGTCTATTTTTATACTTTGTTGACAAGAAACACAAATCTAAATGAAATATATATGTGCTCTACTTATCATCAATTTATGTACATGTATTTTGGTCCGGAGGCCTGTTACTGAAATAAAATTCTGTTCTGTTCTGTTCTGTTCTGTTATATGGATGACTTTAGCGTTTCCACGGTTTGATATACTAGTCTTGTCACCGAAAAGTGTTTTTGCGTGTTCATCCAATCTGATTGATTGTTTATTTCAATACTTTGGTTGTCAGCGTTCTTGTTAATTAATCCTTACTGATGACTGATACTATGTGGATTAATACCTGTAACTGACATATTCAGCTAACTCCCACAATGCGAAACAGTCAATAAGTTCTTTAAGCCCTGGGATTAAGCTGTATTAAATACAAGAAAAGGCAATTAACTACATTTCGCTACATATAACTTCAATGTGCTTTCTTCAGGTGCATAAGCATTAATATTACATACATCTATTACTATTACGCAAGAACTTTCGTCGCTCGACGGCACTTCAGGTGCAGTGAACAATGATTTTCTTTATTTAATGTTTATGCACCTGGGGAAACTACTTGTTTTTACGTGGATAGGATTTAGTTGTTTGCTATGCATAAGTATCCTCATTCAGTAAGTATACAATGCTGTTAGGTCTGAAGTTTCTAATTTCCTTTTCCTGTTGGAATATCTAGGCATCTGTAACTACTCTTGTCATAAAGGGCGGTTGGGTAGCCTAGTGGTTAAAGCGTTCGCTCGTCACGCCGAAGACCCGGGTTCGATTCACCACATGGGGACAATGTGTGAAGCCCATTTCTGATGTCCTCCCGCCGTGATATTGCTGGAATATTGTTAAAAGCGGCGTAAAACCACTCCCTCACTCACTACTCTTGTCATTCTATGAGTATATACCCCATTTGCATGAGGAAAGGAAACTTACATTGTTGTTTTTTATACTAAAATAGCGCATGTAATACAAACCTGCGGTAAACAGTTAACTGTTAGATTTTTTGTGTGAAAAATTCCTTCAACCAAAATGGATGCCACAATACATCAAGAAAATTGTGGATTACATACAGCACTTAAGAGTAAAGACATAAGAAGCTTCTAGATAGTTGCGACTCACAGTTTGTGACGTCAATATTCCGTAAATCTTCTCAGGCGCATAACACTTGCGAGATACATATAGTCAAGTGCTTCTCTGATTGTTACTCTTGCTTGACAACGGCACAAGGATCTATACCAAACATCGCATCACAATAGAATAACGAAATTGTCATTTATAAAGTCTTGTTAGTACATTTAATCCAATTCTCATACCTGGTATGCCCTTTAAACTATAGTTTGGCATGAAATGCATGTGGACCCGTTTTTTTGTAAATATCTCTTCATCCAATGACCCAATCGATCTCAAACTGTGCAAGTGGATGTTTTGTCAGACAACCTAATCACATTGTACATCACCGATTTTATGCATTTGTATTAAAGAATCTGTCTTTGTAACTGTCAACAAAATAAACAGCAGAACGCAGACGGCTTGCAGAGGGAGGGAGCCAATGACCTGTAACAACGGCAGTGTTGGGTCATAAAGGTCAACGTTCGTCAATGTAGGTCAGCTATGCTGATGACCCTGATGTCAAAAGAATCTACCTTTGGATGCCTACCTTTTTGTACAAGGTTTTGTTTATTGGTTGTTGGTTTATTTTTCAAATTTTTTTAGCACGATGTTCTTTTTCATGCCAAGAGCAACAGTTGTACGTTTCATGTAATCCGACACCTTATAAATCGGTTTGCTACGTTTGCTCTCTTTTTCCAAAAAATTCAACACATTTCTAATTAAACGTTTAGCATCATCTGAATAAGCTTTCATAATGACAGCTAGAAGTAGTCAATGTGAATGATCCAACGGTCTATCACTGTGCAGTGCACCGGTAACTATCATGAACTGCACGTGCATTTACCTTTATGACCCAACACTGCCGCTGTTACAGGTCATTGGCTCCCTCCCTCTGCAAGCCGTCTGCGTTCTGCTGTTTATTTTGTTGACAGTTACATAGACAGATTCTTTAACACAAATGCATTAAATCGGTGATGTACAATGTGATTAGGTTTTCTGACAAAACATCCCCTTGCACAGTTTGAGATCGATTGGGTCATTGGATGAAGAGATATTTACAAAAAAACGGGTCCACATGCATTTCATGCCAAACTATACATGGAACCTGTTTCTGAGGAGAGTCAAGACTGCTTCTAGGCCAGACAAGTTCGCTTCCACTGACGATTGATATAAATGCCAATCAACTGCTAATCAAACATACTGTTACAGAAGGTTATGTGTGTGAGCATGCATTCATGTCTCACATAGATCAAGCCAGCCATGTATGGAAATGATGTGTCTTCTTGTGTTGCCAACTACTCAGCAATTTCCGCCACATTAACGTGGCCTTTACACTGAATGTGTAACCGGTGGTTGATACAAAGAGCAACAACCCAGACTGCAAGTGATGAAGGAAATATTAATTGTCAGCCATCTAAGCACGTCACATGATAAACTCCCCCAAAACGTTCCATTTCCATTCAGTCAGTCGCTGAGCAGATATTTCGAGGCGTGTTTCAAGAACAGTTTTCCAAGTACAGTTCGATAGTCTCCAGGAAGCAAACCTAACCACGAGTTGCCCTATTCCAATCATCGAAAAATACATTTCCAGTATCACATTACATAAATTTGAATTATTTGCCAATATTTTGAATTTATGGAAGCAGGAAATATGATTCATCGATTTATGCAAACCGATTCGTATTGTTAAGGATATATTAGTATATCGTGTATCTAAACACATTAAACAATCCATTTTCGTTTTTAAAGCGTGATGTTTGATGAAACTGTTTGACATAATACGCGGAGTCCCGGTCGCTAAAGTGATCACGTGGTGTAATATCGACTGTTGTGTACACGTGCGTGCGCATGCACAGGAAGTATGCCTGGCGCCGACGGATACTTATCATAACAGTGATACATAAACTTCCACTGTGCATAAATATAACCCGCCTTATCACGATACCACTGAATACATATCCCGTGGCGGTAAATCCTTAGTTCTTATCGTAACTCACACAAATAAAAAACATGGATATTTGCAAATTGAGATTCATGACTTAATGGTGTGTCTGAGATCTGTTAGTATTATATTGTGTTATTGGGATAGTTTCTAACACAGTATTGATACGCATCCAGGCACCAATGGCCATGTTTGCAGGTAGATACATCTGTAAATACAGATGCGTTACTACTTTACCATAAGCAGATATTACAATCCCTCCTGTATTTGCAGATGAGGTCTTCCGATATTATCGATCAATTCGAGGATCGACCTGCTCCCGAGTTCTTACTGAGCTTCCTCGATAGACCTTCACTTGAATCATAACAGGGTTTCAATTCCAACTAAAAAAACGCAGATTTAGTTTGTGTGTTTCGGTTTTTGTTCAACGCCGCGTTCAGTTCTTTGTTTGGCATTTAAAGTGCTTGTGAGTGAGAATAAAGGCAAGATACATTTGAGGCGAAAATTTGAGGTTTTGAATTAGAAAACAGTTTTTTTCGATATAAAAGACTCTATTTTCGTTTGCGATAAATACTATTTGATCGCGATTCTTGAACATGTGCTTTCAACTTGTCTGAGTTGTAGAACTGACTGATGTGTCTGGTGACTTTGGCCATGGAATAACGTTTATGTTTAAGCATGTTGTAATGGGTTGCATAGATTTTCTGCTTCATCATATGATGAGAGTGGTGGATTAGATCTTAAAATCTGGTTACACCGTGACTTTTATTTTTCAATGTTCTTTCATTACTTAATAACTACAATATATCCACTACAGTATAACACTCGCTCGTTGACTTTCATGGTCGACCTACTCACGGTCGATTTCTGAGCTTACAATGACAGCATTCGTAATTGTTCTTTGTAATGCCAGCATTCCGATTGGCTGAACTTGTCACGTGTTATTGCATCATTTCCCCAATGAATTTTATAAATTAGCCCACGCCCATCAAAGCGCACTACTTATCGGAGAATCCCATGTACAGACTAGGGAATTACTTTTCTGTTTACCCATATGTAATTCGTGCAGAAGACAGTTTAGCGATATTCAAACCTATTCAGTATCGCTCAAACCACATGGGGACAATGTCCGAAGGATGAAGCTCCAGTACTATACAAGAATCTTCTTTGCCACCAGGATCAAGGATACAATTGTAGAACTTCTAAGGCTATCGATATTCAGTTTGACAAATCGTTCTTAATTCACTGCTACAAGTGCGGAGCACTATAGTCAAGTGTTTCAAAGATTCAGTGATGTCTTCGACGGATCTGTGAGAAACTTACGATTCCGAGGTTCTGTTTTTCAGTGTCTGTTCCCACATCAAAACTACACATAAACCAAGAGCATCTGACACAAAGTTGTGTGCCCATCTAACAGCCTATTCTCGAAGAGTGAATACAACTTTAAAATAAGTTTCACTAAGAGACATTTTTTTGCGTTTACTGATGCTAATTTATGATGCTGTTTAGTGAGTATCATTGACAACCAATTCTGAGGTGTAATTTTCTTCCACAATCGTCTCGGCATCTCGAATCGGGAACAATGAACATGGAAGGCGTTTTTCAAATATTCATCAGTTTAGCTTTCAACAACTTCTTGCCAAAGGACCTCCCGACTTCTCTAATCGTTCCTAGCAAATCATACTGCGCCAAGGGTTGTGTTTTAGACCCTAACTGTCAGTCCTTCTTTTACGTGACCAATGAAAAGAACAAACTGTGCTATCACCTATCACAGGTGTTAGCAAATACAACGGGACTTATTGCTCAGGATGATGTTGGTTATTACCACGTCCACAAAGGTGAGAGATTACAATGCGTGCAATCGTATTAATTTTCTAGTGATATTATGTTTTTTGAGATTAACTGTTTTGTGATGTGTTCTCTGTAGATTGCACTACTTCATACAGAACGCCGTAAACAAACAACCTTGCTTATCTGCCCTAAGAGATTAAATGAAATGAATGGATCCCAAAGAATGAAGATTAATACATAAATACGTATAGCAAGCGTTGCCAGTTACCCATGCTTATAAGAGGCGACCAAAGGGATCGAGTGGTTAGGTGGACATGTCAACGTATCCTAGATGCATAGATCGATACAAACGATGTTGATCACTGTACTGTCTGGTCCAGAATCGACCACTAACAGATATAGCTTGATATCTGCAGAGTGTGGCGTCAAACAAACAGCAAATAAATAACAATAAACATAAGCTGTTTTAGCATAGGTAATGATGAGGCACTCAATCAGCTTTCGTTATGTTCTTGTTATTTTGTTTTAGAACCCTTGAGGGACCAAACATATTTAATTATTTCTACAGTCATAATGGAATACACATATTCTCAACAATACTTCGTTGTCAGCATACAGCGATTGGGATTGATTTCTACACCGCTTTGAGCGCTATTGGCGAAATATCAAGGCGTGGGACACCCGAAATAAGATTGTTTTTGAGTGAATGTGTATGGTTTTAGGCCTCATTTAGCAATACTCCAGCACTATTACGGTGGGAGACACCAGAAATGGGTTTCACACATTGTACCCATATGGGGAATCGAATCCAGGTCTTCAGTGTGACGAGCGGACGTTGAACCATTAGGCTACCGGAAGGCCCCCGAATTTGTTCGCTATTTCGACTGTCACTTTGACAAGACAATACTATAAAACATATATATATGGAACGTGTAGAAAGCAAGAATTAATATTACGTCACGTATAAATGGCGTGTTCGGGTTAATCGATTCATTTCTCACTTTTGCTGTTTTATCGAAAATACACGGGCTATATTTGTGCTGTGGGTTATTTCTATTCATTAAATCAGTTTCGAAAGATTTCCCAAATCATGTAAGAATACAAAACTCATACCAAGTCCTCGTGTTACATCAAATGGCATTGTGCTCATGATATATCTTCTCTTCAAAAATCTGATTACCATTTGCAAGAATCTTTTAACAAGTAAGATACAGGATATTGTCCAAATGAAGTGGGTCAGTTGCGTAATTTAGGGTTATTGTAATAAACCAAATAATAGATAAATAAAAAGTCCATTTGTCATGAGCATTTCTCTATGCAAAATGCATGCTCGAAGCACCCACTATAAAAAGTCACACAGCACACAATTAAAATAAGTTCATTTGATACACTTAAACATTTAGGGTAGTGTTTTTGGAACAGATACCTTTTCAGATATGATCTGAATGCTGAATATGATGGTGCAGTTCTAAGAGTGTGGGTAACGGTGTTACATTCCGTGGCTGAATAAAACACAAAGGATCTTTGGCCATACCTGAGGGTCCTGACTCTAGGTACACACTAGATGTTCTGTGATGCGCATCTGAAAGATCTTGTTGGTGTGTACAGCTGGAGATGTTCACAGAGGTAGTCAGGAGCAGCACCAGTTACACACTTATAGATGATGCGCAGAACAATTCTGTGACGGACAAGTAGCCAGTGCAAGTCCTGAAGTACAGGTGTGATATGGCTAGACTTTGGACATAGAGAAACTTCTCTTACACAAGTATTCTGGATCGGTTGTAGTTTTGAAATTAGCACTTGCGGAGCCGAGCAAGTAAACTGTCACAGTAGTCTAATCTAGACAATACAAGACCAGAAGAAGGATGAACGTTGATTCTTTAGTCAGGTAATTTCTTATTGCTCCTGTATTTCTCAGTTGAATGGAACAGACGCGCAATACATTAAACAAAAGACTTTACATTTATGTCCAAAACATACCCATATGGAAAAAAAATTGTTGGTTGTGGATAAATTTGGATTGTGGATGCAATGAGCCCACACTAAAACAGGATTAGCCATTAAGATTCGCTAGGTGCACTCGCCACAGTCAACAGTAGCATGATGGGGCCACTTTTCGATTTCCCAGGGACCAGCCATCTGTATTGGAGCTTGTTCCATACCGCGTACGACCCCCCTCTCGCATTCACGAGAATGGCTACGTTATCTCAATGACTGCCTAACACTCGTGAATTGCTGTACCAACATGGCGCCCAGTTCCTGAACATTCTGGGTTGACGTCTCAAGGCACGAAGACGTCTTCCAAGAAGTCGATGGTGTTGAGGTGATGTGATCTCGATGGTCACCCCATGATGGTAATATCCGCACTACCCGTCTCCTGAGGTTGTCAAGTGTCCGTCTACTGCATCTCATGGCACGTGTACCAACAGCCACAGCAGACTGGTCACCCTGGTGCATGTCTATTGCACGTTTACATTCAATATTTGTAAGGCGTGGCATGAGACCTGTTATCTCTCATGGATTGTTAACGTTGTTTCCTAATCACCTGCAAATTCTGCACCCGTGCAAGGTTGCATTTTCACGAAGGTGCGTGCTGCTTGTGCCCCGTTTGGTTCACCACAGTTGAAATGGGCGAATGCTACTTGACCATTATGGTCTTCGCTCATATTAACTATCTTTAACCCATTTTCAATATAATTAATTTATCCAAGTGTGAAGATAATTTAGTTTGCTGAGTATTGTTGTTTTTGTAATGCGTTGCGTTATGCTTACGGCAACGATGCACGTGGGAAACGCTCTGTGCAATGTCGTCACTGTATTTATTTTGTTCCGTAATGCCACAGCACTCCATAAATTCATAGCAATCTTTTCACTTTCGAATTGATAGAGAAACATTATAGGCCACGTTCACATGCAAATAAGTTTTGCTTGTAAATGAACGTTACGACATTGTCCGTGTGTATATAACAATAAAACATGACATTTTGAAATCCTGCATTCTGATAGAATACCAGTAAACCAATGGTGCTCGAATTTAGGGTATTTTTATATGCAGATTAAGTAGTGAATGTCGAATTTACACTACTCTTATTGGTCAATCAGAGGTTATCAAATCCATATAAAGCCCCTGTGATTGGGATTTGTCGCAAATGCTTATATATATTGAATAGCATTTCGTTTTTTCAGACCTGGTCGACAAGCTTGCTAATATAATGATGAAAAGTTGTTGTTATTGCAATATTAAACAACATTTTGGTGCAATACGCAATAGAATACCTGAGAGAAATTACAAAAAAGAATATTATACTTATTAGATTTGTTTTAAGTTGTTGTATTCATAAATACGCCAGCCATATGGCGACGGTATGTAAATAATCGAGTCTGGAAAAGACAATCATGGATTGCTGAATGACAATTCTAACCCGGATCCTCGCGGGTAAGGTATAAAATCGATTTCATAACACAAAAGCTTTGTGACTCTGTTATCAGGATGAGTGACTTCCCCATATGCCCAAGAGAATATTTGATTTATGCTCATAAGTAATTCAGGCGCCATGTGCAAAAGACTGGATATTTGTCGGTAAATCAATAAATAAAAAAACATCCTCGAACTGCGACCGTGCGAATCTGAGGCAATCTTTACACAGAGTTATGGACTAATGGATGTCCTATCCCATAATTAACATAATTAACTATTAAGTAGCATTCCACCTAAGAATCATGCACAGGTGGATAAGTCCAAAATTTCATATTCACTTGAAATTTTGTCATTCTCTTTATTTGGCCTTGTAAAATGTCATGTCACTCAGAAATTTTTCTGCTATCAATATTTTTCATTAATTAGCCACTAATTAAAATTCTACGAAATTAACCCAGAATAGCATGTGAAAATGTAAGAAAATGCTATTTTCCGTTGACAATATTGTTAAAACTATTCGTGCAGTCAGAATTCTTTTTACTTTGTATTGAAAGAATACATATACAACTTTCACTTCAGTTATATTTTTGAAGAGTTGATGAGGACCGCTCCATAGCAACGGTTGTCAAGGTAACGGGTATTTTAACCTATAACAAAATTACTCAAAATGGATGATTTTTAGGGGCATTTATCTCAGGACAGCAAACGTTTGATGTTGTAATTGCTATTACTTTGCTTAATACAATTATGAAATTGTGATAGCAAGACATAAAAAGTTTGTAAAGTTTTGAATTTTTTATTTTATTAACCGTTGAAATTTAATATATTTATATGTATTTTCAAAATTTTGACAGAAAACAATTTGGTACATTTACCAAAATAAATCAGCTACTTATTGAATTTTGCTCAAGAAAGTATTATTTAAGTATTTAAGAGGACTGTTAGGATCATTATTTGCAAAAAAAAGCAGAGGAATTTGCAATGTCAACCTAATTAAGAAGTGGGCGTTTTGAAGAAAAATGCTAAGTATAGACCCTCTGTGCATGCTGTATACATTTAATGCTTTTGGGGGCCTAAATTACTAACAAATTACTTAAAAGCTAACCGATTTTCAAGTACTAAATCCTGTTATAGTTCTTTTTCTTAAGTACTTAAGTAAATTATGCTGAGTCATCAAAATTATTATTTTCAGGAAATGTGAGATTACCTTTCTCAAAATGGAAAATACAGTGAGAAAGTGAAGATGTCACATACTTACTTCTTCAGTGTTGGCTTTCTATACTTTTATTAAAGCATAAATGGAATATTCCTCATCACAAACATAACACAGACACCTTATTTGAAGTATGAACCATACTTTTAAGAATAAGGAAGAAGAGTAGGAGGAGGGGAAGAAGAAATGTTTATTACATAGTGTCACGCATGTAAAATAATACAAATAATGCCCGGCCATAGGGCCATGAGACACTTTAATAATACATGTACACTTAAAAATAAGGTATTACATGTACTCAATAATACATTCATACTGGCATTCTTACATTTGTCATCCGCTCAAAGCTTTCATTCATTCTCGATAGAGTGAGTGAGTGAGTTAGTGATAAAGTGAGTGAGTTGGTTAGTGTATTAGTGGGTTAGTGTATTAGTTGGTTAGTGTATTAGTGGGTTAGTTGGTAAGTTGGTCAGTTAGTTAGTTTAGTTACTAAGTTAAATAAATAGTTAAATAAATAAAAAAAATCCTGTCAGTTTGCCATACATCCCATATATTATCGATTCATAATCTGTCATACTACCTTCCATACACCAATCCTACTCAGACAAACAACATATACATATACATTAACTAAAAACAGTTTAAACAAATCATTCACTCATTCAAACTCATATGTATCATTGTCAAACAGAATCTCTATCACCCATTCTTTCATACACTAACCCTACTCACACAAACAGCATATGGCCATATATACTAAGCAGCAAAAGAAACGTCAGTTTGGAAGACTACAAGACAGTGGGAACACACGGAAGACCAATCAGTACTGATACAGTACGCCGACGTCTTAACATTGGGAACCTCCATTGCCGTAGACCTTACCATGGACCTATCCTCACCCCTCGTTATCGGCGTGAACGTCTACAGTTTGCCCTACAACACCAAAACTGGAGATACAGGCAATGGAGAACTGTTCTGTTCACAGATGAGAGTCGGTACTGCGTATCAACTGCAGATGGCAGAGCAAGAATATGGCGACGATGTGGCCAGCGTTATTCAGACCCATGTGTTAAGAAAGAGACTCATGGGGAGGGGCAAGCATCATGGTATGGGGAGGAATAGGCCTGAACCAAAGAGTGGGTTCTGTGGTGTCCAGAACCTTGGTCCAGGGAGAGGAGGCGGCATAAAGCGGTGCCCTACGTCGACCAAGCTCTCAGTCATACCACTTTTCGCATGTCACCGGAACCACATTTTCCAGCATGATAATGCCCGGGCCCATACTTCCAGAGCTACACGGGACTTCTTACAGCAGAACGGTGTCAACATTGTGCAGTGGCCAGCCCTTAGTCCTGATTTAAACCCAGTTGAACATCTTTGGGATGAAATTCAGAGGAGACTACATAATTTTAACCAAGGCCGAACACAGCCTATTTATTGCATCAGGCCTTTCTCAGAGTGTGGTTCAAGGTGCCAATGGCCTTCATCAATCGATTAGATACTGAAGTCAAGAGTCTGAATGTACTGCAAACGTTCACATAATGTCTTGAAATTGTGCTGAGTTATTCATTGATGTGTCAAGATATTGTACACAAAACATGTTTTTGATCCGCTTATTATGTCCATTTCTGTAATGATTTGATAACAGTGCCTTTCTAATTTTCAATTCATACTGACGTTTTTTTAGCTGCTGAGTATATTAACTATAAAACATTCTCAGTACTTATTTCAATCTGAAGATCGTATACTATATACATCAAATATTCACAACAAGATATTCACAATGCGGGTACACACATGTACAGAGCAAAGGCAAGGAAGGATCTAAAAATACACACTTGAGCGAGGATACCATGGGATAAAGTTATTTACAAAATAGGACAATCATACATCTCCATGACATTTCATCTATGTGTTCAGTAACCGGTGTTTCACCTCAAGAAACGAGAGACAGCATTTCATCTTATGGCAGTAATTCTATATGCCCAGACACATTGACATGAAAAAGATCTATAAGTTTGGACAAGAGTTGATTCCTGTTGTACATATAATGTTCACAATGTAGAATTATATGGCAGAGTTCACAATATTTCGAAAAATGGCTCTAGAATTGATTTGTACACAAATTTGTATGATATCTCTATATTGTGGGTAAACATATGCATGTCTCCCGCTGACTTGAGTATCCCATTGTACAGTTTCAGTTTCATTAACACAGTTCATAACTATTTCAAGATAGCCACTCACATATCTATATATATAATTGTATATGAGGAGTGGCATGACCTGTTGCATGGTCTACCAGGAAATAAAAGTCGACATTTACCTATGTAGCCAACCATACTCCACATAATAAGGTTTCCTAGCATCGAGGTAGATGAAAAAGTTTGCCAAATCCCTGCCAAAGTATCTTTGCATGCTTTCAACCAATTCATAGTCTTTACCATGCAGAATAGGTAAATATTCACACACGTAGGGGGGGAGCTTGTGGGGAGTGAGTAGTATCATCCTCCTCCATATTTTTACACAGGGGGTAGGGGGGAGATCTTTACTGTTTAAGCCTGGATTACTAAGGGAGTTTTGACAATATGCGTGCAGTCTAGATTTGAAGGATAAATCAGAGGAAAGCATGATGCCTCCATATTTGACACTACCACTTATTGCAATATCTGTTTCGCCAAATTTGAAAGGATAATAATCATGACCTGTCTTACATTTACGGATATAATGCAAGCACTCTTTGAACTATTATATGGCGACTGTGGACCTTAAGGAAAAGTTGAAGCAAGTGTAGTGTCATCAGCCAATAAGATACAGGGGATATCAATACATTGTATATACGTGAATACCATTGCTTAAGGTTCAAAATTAACATTTTACGTCATTGATAAAAAGTAGAAAAAAAAGGACAAGACCCTTCCTTGTCTGACACCTTGCATGGTATATTCATTTGAGTTTAAGCCACAATATTGAACAAAAGCAGAACTTCTGTGTAGCTTTGGTATAGGAGCTGCCACAGTTTGCCTTTTGTTCCTGTTTCTTTATAACTTTAAAAAGAGTACATTGTGCCATATGCAGTCGAACGCCTTTTCCTTATCAATAAAAGCAGTATATATACCTTTGAATCTCTGCTTAAATAGTAGGATAACTTTCATTTAAAGTCTACACTGAAGTGGTTGCACCGTGTTCTTTTCTAAAGTCAACCGGAGCTTGTCTGGAAATGCTGGTATATACTCTTGCAACCTGGGTTTCTAATTTAGCGAGAAGTACTTTCTCAAAGAGTTTTCCAATACAAGATGATAAAGTTATTCCTCTATAGTTTTTAGGATCATGTTTTGATTTTTTTCCTTTATATATTGGAACAACTACACCTTTTCTGATTGTGCTAGGGACATATACAGACTTTACAATAGAATAAAAAGGGCAGTTATTACATTTATGATGCTATCATTGCCATAGATTAGATGTTCGTTGTGATTATAATCTTGACCATTATTATTGACATTATTGATGTGCCCCTGTACATAGTCTATTTCAATACACTTACACAAAACATCATCATCACATGATAAGTGTTCCAGGCTGAATATTATGTGTAAACTTTCTGTCAACTGATATTTTGAAGTTGTCAGATGATGAAGAGCAGTGAGGCTAAGCTAGATCAACAAAATAATCACCCCAGAGTTCACAAATATCCTCCGCTGTATTTGTACATTTGTCACCCAGTAATAGTTCTTTAACAACAGGACTTTGTCACCTCATTTTGTGAAATGACTTAAAGAAATATAAATTGTCAAAGCCAAGTAATGAAATAAATATTTGAATTGAATAAGGTAGATAGCTTGAGGCAGCTAATAATCGTGAGAAGTGCTGCTACACTCAACTCTGTAATGTCATACTTGTGAAAGCGAGGGTTGACATGGAGTTGTTAGACTTACTCTGAGGCTCCCTTACCACGGAAAGATGTGCTGTGTAACATATAAGATTTGGTCACATTCAATAGCCCTGACAGTTATCTGGTTAACTTTCTGACAATTCATTCATCAAAACATCATTGTCAATGGCATCCAGTACAACAAACAAATCCTCATCATCTATTCCTTTAGTTTTCCTTTTGATTTTCTTGTTCGAAAGTCTTGAAAAGAATGACGTTATTTGATTGGGTCTTAACCACTCGGAATGGCTGAACATCTTGTTCCCTTCATCATCTCTTAATGTTTTCATGATGCATGACACCTCCAAAGGATCACTCTTTTTGTTTCTTTAACCTTCCATGAACTTGGCTTGAAGAAAGTCCTTCACCTTAGTGTTAAACCTAACACCCTTGCGTGCACTTCTCAAGGCCCACCCCATTTGCCTTGATCCATCTGCTTGTGATGTGCAACTACCTGTGGTTGTGCGGACCTTGTAGGTAATGACAACTTCAATGCAGAGACGGGCCCACTGTCGCTTTATGTTGTCATACGTTGACTCCTTCACAAGTTGACAGTTGTGGGTGCCAAGAGCAAGGTGATCTTCTGCATCCCTATAACAGGGAAAGGTGTTGGTACAACCCGGCTCTGGACAACAGTACACTGTATCAAGATCTGTTTGTGTAGGTTGTGGACGACTGATTTTACCTTCACATACTGTGGGTAAAGTAAAACCCTCAAGTGTCTTGCATCCTGATTGTTGAGACATTTGGAGTCCATTCCCAGCTTTTAGCAATTCATCATTTGAAATGAATTTTCCATCTCCAATGGCATAGGCTTTTCTCAGAAGTATTCCATTGTCTTGGAATACTACTTCATTGAAACAAATTATTTGTTTCAGTCTGTGAGACTTGACAATTTGTTTGTCAGTGTCCATTGTTACTACAGCAACTTGACATCCTGTAACACCTAAAATGATAAAATAAATACAATTCTATAATCTATAGTTTTGAAACAAAAAATAATGTATGTACTAAACATATCATTTTTTGTAGCTTTTACTTTACAAACTTTAAACCAATTCCATGTATTTAGTCATTTAAACTTTACAGAATTTTACCACTACTGAAAATTACATTTAAGATGAGTGATTTGAGTGTGTTTTTCTGATACTTGATATAACAAAATATACATGCATAACAAGAATAACTTTAATGTGAAAAATAAAATATGCCAACCAACATATTATTCAATATTTCAGTTTCCACGTAGGCTTATTTACAAAACAACAATCCATTGTAGAAAGTCTACACAAATGAAGGGTTTGTTCCAATACCTGTTGCTGCATCAATTGCTGACTTCATGTCTGTTGCTGTAACAATGTCATTGCCTTCTGTAACCCATGTCCTTATCTTTTCTTCATGTGGGCAATTTTTGAATCACAGAACATGTGAAACAAAGGTGATTGCTTTAATGTAATGACATAACAGCAATTGTTAAAGCGTACTTTACCAATGAAAACAATGAAACAATGTGATCCATAATGCTGCGGAATTAAAACAGTTTGGCATAGTCATGTGTATAGAAAGTATTTACTGCAATATCTTTAGACGTGAAAATTAATGGTAAATTTGCTACTTTAATTAATTTAAGTACATTATCTTCTTAAAATACTTTTCACTTACCAGTGCGTTTGCTAACCTCTGGAAGACAAAGACACATGTGCCCACGGTGGTAGCAAGCAGCATTGTCAGAACGTAGGAACACTTCAGTGAGTTGTGGGAGTTGATCTTTTATGGTGTTGAACACATTTTCAATTATGGAGATGACACTAAACCAGTCTTGCTTGCCTCCATCAAAAACATGAGTAAAGGTTCTGTGCTACAATGAAATGTTGATTTCATTAATCCTAACTTTAAAATTGACATAGTTTCAATACGTTCTCATAGTTTGCATTTTCAAAAAGACATTATTTTACTTATTTTAGAATTGTTTACCTTTTAATTTTAAATATGATATCAATATATATATCAATACTCACACAGATTGTATCCTGTGCATCTCGGTAAATACAGACAGTGACATGCCAGTTCTTTCCACGCTGCCCCAACCAGTCTGTCTGCTTCTCTCTGAACTTTAAGGGTAGAAATTTCATTGCCAAATCCATGACCAAGAATGCCTGGTTTTGTTTGAGATTTTGAAGACAGTTAATACGAAATGTATACGAAATGGTTCACTGATCGCATTATGTGAGCCTTCCAATTTCTGATCTGCTGTAATGAATCTGATAATGATTTCCTTCAATCTTCCTGCAGTTCTCTTTCCTCTATACTTACTACAATGTTTGAGAATTTTTCTTCAACATCTTCCCAAATCTGACATCTGTCACACTGCAGAGAATGCAAATGGTCACAGGATTTCTGCAGTTCTGAGTCATTTGGATCACTGAGTCCCCAAGTAATACAATGGTCTGAACACCATCTGAATCCTGAACATGAATCTTGTAATCAGTTTTCATGTAGATACGACTTGATGAAAGTTGACCTTTTATATCTTTGAAAGCATCTTCTGATATAATTCCACAGCTGTGCAGTCTACACGCTAGATCTTGAATTGCTTTATACCCCTCTTCTCCTTCAGCAGCAGTGTTGTCTAAACCATGGAGATTCTTCCTTTTAGATGCAGCACAGGCTTGCAAAATGTGAAAAAGGGTGGATTGGCAAAGTGGTGTAAAGTGAGTTTCCTCACACAAGGTTTCATACATCTTGACTATTTGAGAATGACATGAGGTTCTAACAACATCAGGAATGGTAATGTTTTCGCCTGAGTCCAACTCTATGTTTCTTGTCCCAAAAGATACAACTTGCATGAAACAAGGATCGAAAAAGAAATCCAATGCATGTTGCAATTTACCTTTGTCCATTCGATGACGTCGTCGTTTGGACTTGTTGGGGAAAGATATTCCGTTTTGAGATTTTGACATTAACCTTGATTGGTCAATTTTGTAGATGGTTAAACCTGGAATTTTCTTCATGAGATCAGATTTTTTTAAATCATTGGATACAGTGGCCAATATTTGGGCTCTCAAATTATTGTCTATAGTTTGATGATATAGGTCTATCAAGGTGTCATGGTCAGCTGAAGAGGTTCTATCAGGAGGATCTTCTGTGATCAATTTTTTCAGTTGACTGGATTGTCCTGGTGCAATCATATCTAAGACAGCATCAACAGCCTCATTTGCTTTTCTTTTGTAATAATTTACTGTGCTTTTCGTTACTGAAGAAATATCTCTTTGTAGGCGTGCTCGTATTGGGCTGGATGATCCTCTTGTCAATGTTTCTAGAGTATGATTCACATCATTCAAACTCAAATCCTTGTCGTAACTCCAATTTGAGATTTGTGATGGTTGAGAGTCTTGACTGTAAGTACTCTGAAAAAGATATACATGCATAGTTACATGTAAATTAACAGGTGTTATTCAGGATTAAATAATGTAAGTCTTGCATATTCATATTACAATACTATTTGTTTGATAAAACAAGAGTCATCAAAGGATGACATATCACAGTGGTGGTTCAACATAAATCATAGGATATATCTTTCAATGAGAATGGAATTCATTTATGGAATCATGTTCTAAGTCCAACTTGTAACCATGGAAAAAAAACATTAAAATATGAATTTCACAATTCATAAAATATTACAAGGCACCAGTTCAGAACATGGTTAATGCATGTTCAAAGTTTGAGAAACACATTACATGTATAATGTCGATGGAAAATAAATGCACATTACAGTATTAGGTAGTTTAAATTTCACTGGGATCAGACATCAAACATTGGACGAAATCGGTCTGCTTATGATACGAGCAAGTATGCTTCAGATAGCTGTTAATAAAGCAGAATTGATATAATTATGAATTCCATAGCACCACCAAGGCATATGTGACACTTCATTTATACTCCAATTGTACTTACATCACATTCAGGGCTATTCTGCACTTCTCTGAGTACACTCGCACGTAGATGGCTGTTGGTACTCTCTTTCTGGAAAATATATTTAGTTCTAAATTAAAGAATGTGTGTTGTAAAAATCCATAATTTTCCCTTAATTTTGTAATTTAACTTCTTCACATTGTATGTATGTAATATGAACATGAATAAGCATGGAGAGGGAGTTCTAGGTTTAAAACATAACAAATATTCACTAATGTAGGAGATGAAGTTGACTTTACCTCTGATGCTTTTGATCTTGATGTAGACACATCTTCTCCTTTATCTGTAATTTGTTGTGAAGATTGGCCCTAAAATCATTTAAAAAGTGAGGATTATAATAAATAGATACTAGTAACTTCTAAATAGCCATTATGATTAACCATATCTCAGTTTTAAATACTCCTGGTCATACATGAATATTTGTTATGATATTATGTTTGACATGGTTCAATATGTATTTTCACTAAAATTTGAAAATATTTCTTAAAGAGTTGAGCATTTGATTAAGAAACTTACACTTGATGACTGGTTAACCTCCTTGTAGGTACTGTTGAAAACATTGTAACACTTCACACAGATTCCTGAAAATATCAAGATTAAAATGACATTTATTTCAATGATTTTACTCTTTTAGTCGAATAAACCAGCAGCTATACCTTAAGAATTCAAACTCATGGAAAGAGAATTCCCTAATAAATATCATAATGTGACAAAATAAACGTATGACAACATTATCTTGATTTTCAAATAGATGAGAATTCAGTTCCAAAGCATTTAAAGGAAAACGAATTTAAAAGTAGGAGCGATGTGGTTTCGCTTTGGAGCAAAAGGTTCCAGGTTAGATTCCTTCTAGGCTCTGCAATTTATCTGCAGTTGAGAACTGTTACTGTAAACATACTTTTTTCGCTTGGTGCACATTTTGCGGAATTGACAGTTTAGACTACATCGCGCGGTCAATTATTCACGCAATCAGCAATTGCCGGAATTGCCAGCTGTCTCTTAGGCTGCCACTACTAGCAATGAAGACAACCAGACTATCACCACTTCCAGTTGATGCTTGCAAGTTTTACCATGCAAGATTTCTCCCAGACATAATAGCAATACTATGTGCCATGGTGAAAGCTCATGCTTAAAAACACCCAAAAGAATAAGTAACATATATATTTACCAGAACCTGCAGGCACAAGGACTCGAATCTTGTTCATTAGGGTCTCACTCATGTCGACGGACACCCCTTTATACGGCAGCTGTGACCCTTGATGGAGAGGGAAAACACATTTCCTGGATGGTCTCCAATGAATGCCAAGTCTGTAGCGATGATATGGACAGACTGTCAGTGAAGGATCGTACCTGTAAGAAGCAAAGAAATACTACTTGTAACATGATATTACACAACTCTGCATACCTATCATTCAAGTGTACGATACAAAATTCTCTTTTCTTTAATCATTAAACAAATCATTAAATGTTCAATCATGATAACTTCATGTACACTTAAAACTAGCTAAGCCAATAAACATGTTTTATATTCAGCTTCAAATTCAGTATTTTATTTACCTAATTGTTATTATCTAATAAAACTCTAAATTTCACTAGCCAAAATGTTTTTTATTAATAAGTTCTCGCATTCTTGCTTGACAGTGATACAAGAACCCATATCGAAACGTTGCATACATGCAATAAAGAAATTGTTATCCATAAAATCAGTTGTTTGTTGCATTCCCATGTATGCAACTTCTAAAATGCCACTCAAAGAAGACAAAACTTTATTTTACTCCCTCATATGCAACAAGGGTTGTTCACAGGTAACTCACGTAACCAATATTATAGTCTACTTAAAATTGTTTGTTAGATTTTGGCTTTAATTAACATAACTTGTACTACAGATTTAACAGGTTTATGTATTCTAAAAATGAGGTAAAATAGTGATCTTAGGGACTGTTCATAACATATGGTCAGCAGGGGTAATGATGATCTTTATGGAGAAGCATGTACAATGTGAATGACCCCCCTAAAATTTATGTACAAAGTAAGTGACACCCCAACCCCCACTTGCATGTCATATACAAAATCAATGCCCCCTCCCATAATTTTAAATTATAATATATTAATATTTCTACATACAAAATTGTTGCCCCCCAAATTCATAAGCACAAAATGTAAGGAAACACACTGACATTTCTCGTAACTGTGCTCAAAAGGAGGTGAACGGAACAGCCATCAAGTGCTTACAATTTGGACAAAATACGACATGTTACTGATAACAATATCACAAAAACTATAGTAACATCTGCATTTTCATTAAAGTTCGCCTGATGCTCAGTGTTTTGAAATATTCGGTTGCATTTTTACAAATTTTACTCTAAATGCGACCATATCTGATTCAATCGCAACATGGATCCCTGTTGGTGCAACTGTTAGACAAGATATCATAGAGCGATACACGATTTCGGATAGTGTAGATCTGTCGATATAAATAAATGCAATGCTTATTTTTCATTTTTATTTCTCATCATAAATGACTTACCAGTGTGATTTCTACAAACATACCTGAAAAGGCCGATTCGGTAGGAAATCAAACTTCCCTCGCTGTCTGCTGCGGGGCTCTTGTCGTCTGCCGACCACCACATAGATTCACCTCCCGCAGATGCGAAGAAATATCCCGACAGCATGATCCCAGGGTTTCTAAACCGTTTTCTTTGGGATATGCTCTATATACTCCGCAAGTACCATCTGCTGTCAGGCCAACACTGCAGCGGAGCAGACAATTCGCTTCCGCATCCGCCATTTTCGCGGGGTGGCTTCTCTAGCAACACCCTAGCAACAACACGCCATCTAGCGGTAATGAGGAACATAAGTTGCCAAGAACGACAACTGAATGGTGAATTGTCGCTCACGTTTAGATTAACATTTTCATCACAAATTAGAACTTTACGTACTTTTTATGACGGAAAAGGTTAGATTACAGCTTCTTTTATATGTACATATACTTTGCTATATGCCACACATTTGCTGTTATTCAAAATCTGGTTTCAAAGTAACAGTACTTTACTATGCAAACCAATGGAGATCGTTGCCCGTCTACCTCCCATTGATCTTTGGGAAATATTAGCGTATCGCGACTACTAGCGCACATATTTTAGAAAAAATCCACAACGATGTTTAATAAAGTGGTGTCATCACATTCTGAAATTTTAAAACAAATTCTGGATTTTTGGACTTATCCAGTATTCTCGATTTCGCATGGTTCTTACGTGGAGCTGTACTTAAGTATTAGATTCGAGTTTTTTTTGCGGAACAGGAACATTTTCACTGTTAAAAACACACCTTAACATGATTCATTTGAAAACATTGTTTAAACTGTGAAAGAATTGTTATACAGAGAATGTATTTGAGAGTTTATGTCTTCCGAGGTATCATTAAGATACGATATAAAATATCTACAACCTGGCGAAAGGATAATGAATGGATGCATAACGTCGAAACTCGGTGAAGAGACAACCTGGTTGTGAGGAACAATTGTAAAAAATGATATTAAATGATCATGTTTTTCACAACACAATAGTAATAAGTCCACGCAGTCGTGCTGTAAACGCAATACAATACAGCAGATTGGCAATATCTAATACATAATTTTGTCTTGATATTCGCAAATTCAATCGATGTGATATTTGATCCTATCCAACCGCTAGTCGACGCTGACCAAAAAGATTCTTTGTACATAAATATGGCAAACTTAAGGACTTAACTTAAAGTCTCTTTCTGGTGTTGCTGGAATATTGCTAAAAGTGGCGTAAAACTAAACTCACTAACATATCTTCTTCAGAGGTACTGGGCAGTATGTGAAAGGTTAAGGAGAAGAAATGCCATGTATTGTTTATTGAGAAAATGGTATGAAATGTTTGACGTCCTTATTGATAAAAAATGTGTTACATTTGGGGATCAACATTCCGACAAGATGTAGGTATCGCTGTGCGCACCGAATAAGCTCCCCTCCTGGTTCTTTTTCTGTATTCATGTGAACAGACATTTGCTCTGATTGCAAGTCAATTCTCCAAACAACACCTGTTCGAGCGAGTGAGTGAGTATGGTTTTACGCTACTTTTGGCAATGTAGCAGCAATATCACGGAGGGGAACACCAGAAATGCGCTTCACACATTGTACCGATGAAGGGAAGTGAACCAGGGCCTTCGGCGTGACGGGCGAACGCTTTAACCACTAGGCTACTCCACCGCCCAACAACTGTTCGACAGTTGGCGAGTGCATGAGCTTAATTTCAGGCTGCTTTGAATAGTATTGCAGTTAAATGCATACCAATGTGTCGCATGAATATATGGGATGAAAAACAGAGGAAAAGTATTTGTTCTGTCGATACCTTGGGAACGAGATAACATTTAAACAGCAATAGGTGTCAGGTATCGATTTATGTTGTTCCAGCATCATGCATTGTTTCCATGCAATGAAAATATAATTGCAACTTCATTTTTTACTGTTTATGTAATCATGGTTTATCGATTTTAACTTGAGCTAAAGTGTGTGGTTCATAGTCACAGTTGATAGACAGAAACACGTATTAGTGTCATTACAGTTGTGAAGATCTTCAACAAATATGGCGCTGGTAGGGAAGTGAGAGCTGGAGTTAAAAATCTCAACACCAATTTAGATCCAGAAGAATGCCTTTGCAGGATGTACATGTGGCTCATGAATGTTATGCTAATTGTGATAGATGTACCCATCCATGTAGACTAACAGCTGTTCGATTCCCCATATGAGTACAATGTATGAAGCCCATTTCTAGTGTCCCCCGTCGTGATATTGCTGGAATATGTACCCATCCATGTAGACTAACAGCTGTTCGATTCCCCATATGAGTACAATGTATGAAGCCCATTTCTAGTGTCCCCCGTCGTGATATTGCTGGAATATGGCTAAAAGCGGCGTAAAACCAAACTCACTCACTCACTCACTAACAGCTAATCTCTGGAATGGAATCATTTTACAGAAAAAATGTTTTAAACTAAAATACGATAAGATAAAAAGGAGCCCTAAGACGTTCTTCATTTTCAGCTTGAAGCTGTGGTAGTCTAGACTTGCCACATATCCTAGACTTGCATGAGTTGCATTGGGTATATTTGTTTCAGGGTCTGAATGACAGACTATCCATGTCGTCCACGAATAAATGCATTATGGTGCAACTATTTTCAGTGAACGGCGGTTGGTCAGCGTGGTCTGTGACATCACCTGGTGCATGTACATTGACCTGTGGGAGTGGTCAGCAAACAGTCTCTAGGGACAGGACCTGCAGTAACCCGACCCCAGGCCACGGTGGAGCTCCCTGTCCCGGGGCGTCAACAGACACTCAGACACAGACATGTAACATTGTGCCTTGTGCAGGTAGGACAATTAGTATATTTGTGAGTTAATATTATCGTCACATCGGCAATATTTCAGCCATATCGTGACGAGGATAATTAACCATCATATTAAAGATCAATAAAATTAAAATTAAAAAACTGTTGACGATGAACAATAAAACTACTAGTGTATCAGAGATAGAGATGTAAATTATCTTAAAACTTATACTATAATACAAGACAATACAAAATAAAACACGGGATATAGATCACCAAGAACTGAAGGTAGATCACCATACTAGAGACCATGGGGACTTACAGTACTTTTGCTACCTGCATGGACCCTAGCCGGATTTACATCATTCCTTCAGACGTTGGTGATTGTAGGTATATTTAGCCATAACTTAAAATATCAAAAATGCTACTTTTTAAAATATTCTGTGAGCCTAACTTATCTTGAATGTTTTGGGACTTACGAAGCTAAGCATTATTGTAAAGCATTCAATTGATTCTTTAGACTCTACATATTCCCTGAGGAGGGGTTCATTGCTTTAAACCGGCTCTGTTTAAATGAGATACATTTCTGTAAATATATCACCACGGGTTAAATGTGACATATGTTATATTTGGAATTATGATATCTCAGTAAAGTACAAATTCTGGTATTTGGGGGTTGAGTCCTATCCGAGACAATCTCAAAGCTAGGCACCTAAGCGTCAGCACACAAAGTCAGGGATCTAACCAACTCAGACATCGCTTTTAATCGTGGTTTTGTTTTGTGGTATGAAACTTCTTTTCGTGTAATTAAGGGTGCATTTTATAAATGAAAGTTTGTAATAATGTTAGATCTTCTGACCAACTACAAATGGCAATTTTATATGGTTTACAATTTGTTATAAAATTATTAAAAGAGTACATATAACGGTATTCAACGTTTGTGTTTTGTATTTTGAGTGCGTAGCATTATGTTAAAGCCGCATTTAGCAATATTCCAGCAATATCATGACGGGTGGACACCAGAAATTGGCTTCACACATTGAAGTAGCGCTTTAACCACTAGGCCAGTAGTAGTTCTGGATTAACATCAAATGGATTCACATCAACTATAGTCTGTTTCCAGTGAAAACGTACCGATGAATTTCACTTAAACAAACACATAAATCAAATCAAATGAAATTGAGATTGCCTGGTCTAGACTCGATTATTTACAGAACACCGCAATCTAGCTGGAATATTGCTGAGTGCAGCGTTAAACAAGAAACAAACCAACCAACCTCCTCATGAACAACAAACTGACCAAAGTCGAAACACTGAGTCGAGGATATACACAAAGACTTATGTTATTTTTGTGTTTGTGGTGTTTTGATGGATCGGCAGAGAAACAACTCCAGTTGTCAACCTTTCTATAATTAAAGATACACATCGTGAGCATTTTTAACCGTATCCCTTGTCCATTAATTTGTCATATGGTTGAAATCCTGAGGGACCAAACATATTTAATGTTTTCTACAGTCATAATGGAATACACATATTCTCAACAATACTTCGTTGTCAGCATACAGCAATTGGGATTGATTTCTACACCGCTTTGGGCACTATTGGCGAAATATCAAGGTGGGGGACACCCGAAATAAACTTTAGACATTGTGTGGAATCGAACCCGGATCATCAATCGCCGTGTCTAAGCCTTCACCACTTGGCTACACCACCGCCCCATAATACATACTAACATTTTCACACAATAGAATAAGCATGTGCCCATTGCATTTGTCCACATGACATACCTAAATTATACGATTCCTATAAAACATATACATGTTGAACGTGTAGAAAGCAAGAATTAATATTACGTCACGTTCATTTCTCGCCTTTGCTGTTTTATCCAAAATACACGTGCTATATTTGTGCTGTAGGTTATTTCTATTCATTAAATCAGTTTCGAATGATTTCCCAAATCATGTAAGAATGCAAAACTCATACCATGTCCTCGTGTTACATCAACTGGCGTTGTGCTCATGATATATCTTCTCTTCAAAAATCTGATTACCATTTGCAAGAATCTTTTAACAAGTAAGATACAGGATATTGTCCAAATGAAGTGGGTCAGTTGCGTAATTTAGGGTTATGTAATAAACCAAATAATGGATAAATGAAAAGTCCATTTGTCATGAGCATTTCTCTACGCATAATGCATGCTTGAAGCACCCACTATAAAAAGACACACAGCACACGCTTAAAATAAGTTCGTTTGATACACTTAAACATTTAGGGTAGTGTTTTTGGAACAGATACCTTTTCAGATATGATCTGAATGCTGAAAATGATGGTGCAGTTCTAAGAGTGTGGGTAACGGTGTTAAATTCCGTGGCTGAATAAAACACAAAGGATCTTTGGCCATACGTGAGGGTCCTGACTCTAGGTACACACTACAGGTTCTGTGAAGCGGATCTGAGAGATCTTGTTGGTGTGTACAGCTGGAGATGTTCACAGATAGTCAGTAGCAGCACCAGTTACACACTTATAGATGATGCGCAGAACAATTCTGTGACGGACAAGAGGCCAGTGCAAGTCCTGAAGTACAGGTGTGATATGGCTAGACTTTGGACATAGAGAAACTTCTCTAACACAAGTATTCTGGATCGGTTGTAGTTTTGAAATTAGCACTTGCGGAGCCGAGCAAGTAAACTGTCACAGTAGTCTAATCTATACAATACAAGACCAGAAGAAGGATGAACGTTGATTCTTTAGTCAGGTAATTTCTTATTGCTCCTATATTTCTCAGTTGAATGGAACAGACTCGCAATACATTAAACAAAAGACTTTACATTTATGCCCAAGACATACCCATATGGAAAATAAATTGTTGGTTGTGGATAAATTTGGTTTATGGATGCAATGAGCCCACACTAAAACAGGATTAGCCATTAAGATTCGCTAGGTGCACTTGCCACAGTCAATAGTAGCATGATGGGGCCACTTTTCGATTTCCCAGGTACCAGCCATCTGTATTGGAGCTTTTTCCATACCGCGTACGGCCCCCCTCTCGCATTCACGAGAATGGCTATGTTGTCTCAATGACTGCCTGACACTCGTGAATTACTGTACCAACATGGCGCCCAGTTCTTGAACATTCTGGATTGACGTCTCAAGGCACGAAGACTTCTTCCAAGAAGTCGATGGTATTGAGGTGATGTGATCTCGATGGTCACCCCATGACGGTAATATCCGCATTTTGCCGGGCATTTAGCCATCAGCAGGTGCAGTTGAGCTCAGTGTAGACTTTCATTACGGTATACCTCTGTCAAAATCGGCCTAAGGACGTCTGGCACGAAGATATGTAGTTACAAGACCCCTAAACAGTGCGTTACTGGGTAACGTTGCAGCCGTAAAATTATCATCCCAGATATAACATAAGGTTACTTTTGACCACTTTCTAATGGGCATTGTGTATTCATAACGCAGATGACGAATTTGATTGTCCTGACCTGGGGCGATCAGATGCACTACCCGTCTCCTGAGGTTGTCAAGTGTCCGTCTACTGCATCTCATGGCACGTGTACCAACAGCCACAGCAGACTGGCCATCCTGGTGCATGTCAACTGCACGTTTACATTCAATATTTGTAAGGCGTGGCATGAGACCTGTTATCTCTCATGGATTGTTAACGTTGTTTCCTAATCACCTGCAAATTCTGCACACGTGCAAAGTTGCATTTTCACGAAGGTGCGTGCTGCTTGTGCCCCGTTTGGTTCACCACAGTTGAAATGGGCGAATGCTACTTGACCATTATGGTCTTTGCTCATATTAACTATCATTAACCCATTTTCAATATAATTAAATTTTCCAAGTGTGAAGATAATTTAGTTTGCTGAGTATTGTTTAGTCAAAGTTGTCTTTGTAATGCGTTGCGTTATGCTTACGGCAACGATGCACGTGAGAAACGTTCTGTGCAATGTCGTCACTGTATTTATTTTGTTCCGTAATGCCACAGCACTCCATAAATTCATAGCACTCTTTTCACTTTCGAATTGATAGAGAAACATTATAGGCCACGTTCACATGCAAATAAGTTTTGCTTGTAAATGAACGTTACGACATTGTCCGTGTGTATATAACAATAAAACATGACATTTTGAAATCCTGCATTCTGATAGAATACCAGTAAACGAATGGTGCTCGAATTTAGGGTATTTTTATATGCAGATTAAGTAGTGAATGTCGAATTTACACTACTCTTATTGGTCAATCAGAGGTTATCAAATCCATATAAAGCCCCTGTGATTGGGATTTGTCGCAAATGCTTATATATATTGAATAGTATTTCGTTTTTTCAGACCTGGGCCCGGTTGTTCAAAACTTGGTTATCTTTTAACCAGCTGTTAAGTACATTTAACCGACCGTTAACTCATAACAGAGGGTTATCTTGTTGTTCAAAACTCTGTTAACTTTAAACAGGTTGTTAACGTGACGTTCAGTTAACACACCTAAGGACCGCCGCTTACTTTTTAACAGTGTGGTTAACTCGCAAATGGCGTTCATGGCTAACACTGCTTTCATAAGGCTAGTTCAGCAAAGAAAGGATAGGGTGTATCGTGGAATGGACTTCTATACTGGAAATTATTCTGACGAAGAGTTACATACGAAACTGTAACTATACACTTCATAGGAACTAAAATACATGTTGAACAAGAACATGATTCCTACGTTTCATCTTTTAACACTTGTGTAAAGGTTTATATATGTTTTACTACACTAAATGTGAGAATTTCTTCTGTAATTATTATTCAAACAAACACTTTCAAAGAATCAAACACGTACACCCTATACCCAAGTATGATATGATATTGAACAAGGCTAAATGTAGATAATTAAATTATTTGAAAAAATATCCGAATGATTATATTATGATACTGAAAGTGTAATCGGCGGGATATGGTGATTGTGTATACTCTTATTCTACCGACCTTCACCTCAGAGAAATTGCCAAATATGTAATACAATGTTGATGTATGACATCACTACCGTTGAGATTTCTTAAAT